TGTTTCAATGCAGAAATCATAACCTCGATCGTTTTACAAATAAGATAATGCGATAGAATTTTGTTATTGAAACATATGAAGGGTACTGATAAAGGGCCGTTCGAATGACTGAAAATAATGTATGGCTCATTGTATCTGGTTGTGGTGCTTGATTTGAACTATTGTTCTTGCAAGCAATGTATGCCGTATAGTGATGATGGCTATCACAATCGATACCGGTACGGAATCACGACCGGTGAGATCGCATCATCACTGGGAAAAGATATTTGGATTGCAGACAGACGCGATGATCGGTTGACGTACGGCTATCACTCTTGCTCTTGCTCTTGCTCTTGCTCTTGCTATCACTCTTGCTATTGCTATCACTCTTGCTATTGCTATCACTCTTGCTATTGCTATCACTCTTGCTATTGCTATCACTCTTGCTATTGCTATATTATATTGCTATTCTTTTTTCACTATTGTGTTTAGTTCTGATTTTGAAAAACTTGAGTAGAAGTAGAGCGAGTTAAAGCGAAAGCAACACAGTCACCCACAATCATCAGAAAGCAGAAGGCAAACTTTTATCACTGCATACATACTGATAGGACAGCAAATGAAAGCAATATCAAATAGCATCATCTCAATCATCAAAATATTTATCGCTAAACTACAAATCATGGCATTTACTTTCGACACGCTTTAGTAAGCGCCAACCATGTCCAAATCTTGAGTGGCAAGAATGTCATACAGACAATCCTTGCGACTCAGCTTGTCTTCAAGTCCAGCACAAGCAGCTTCCGCTTGTTCTTCGCTTATGCTTGATTCATATATATATGGAGCAATTTTTCCAGTCAATCTGAGATTATATTTTCGCCGTGAATATGGTGAAATTCAATTATTCCGAAGAGTGAGTCAACGTGAACCTGACTCCAGATGAAAATGACTATTGAGGCAGTGGGATTCCCCCTTTTCATTTTATTTCGTCCCCGCGATATTTAACGCGATTTCCCACAACTAGTTGTGGGAACAGATTTTTGCCAAAAATTCCCACAACTAGAAAAAATAGTTGTGGGAAATTCCTACAACTAGTTATGGGAATCTTAAAAAATAGTTGTGGGAAATTCCTACAACTAGTTATGGGAATTTCCCACAACTAGTTGTGGGAATTTCCGTTGCGCAGCTGTCCGTTTTTTTGCCTTAAATGTATCACGAAATATCACGAAAACAATTAGAGTTTTTGGGAAACATCATATGTAGTTGTCTAATTTCTAGTCAGTACATATCAAACGTTGTTTTGTGTGTAGAACGGACAGTTTTCCGTAGAACGGACAGTTTTCCCATAATTCCCAATAAAACAATTAGAGTTGTGGGAAACTTCCCACAACTACAATTAGAGTTGTGGGAAACTTCAAATTTGTCTCAGTACATATCCTACGTGGTTTTCTGTGTAGAAATGACAGTTTTCCCACAAATGTTGAGGGAATTCCCACAACTAGTTGTGGGAAGCAAAATTGAGTTGTGGGAAAAATTGAGTTGTGGGAAAAATTGAGCTGTGGGAAAATCTCGCAACTACACCGTAAACGAATTGTATGGGACTAGGGCAGAACATCGGGTGGAAAAGATGGTACTACCGCAATCCCATGTGAAGAAAAGTTCTAAATATTGCGCGCGATTTTTGCGCAAAGCTGGTGAAAAGTCTGGGTTCGGGGGAAACAATCTGGCACAATCGCATATTTCGGTAATTTTACGGGTGAGACTCCCCGAGACTCTACCATATTCCCACAAAACTTACCACAAAGATAAGTCCCACTTCTACTACCGCATTTCCCTATTCCCATGATCATTACCGTCCTTATCACCCTTAGCTTAACGGCTGTTTTCGTATGCAACTAAACCGCACCAGCCGTCATATAGGAGCCTGCCCGCACACGGTGTCATTTGAATCTATTTTAAAATAACGAGCTACTATATAGCACTATCGTTCTATCGTCAGTATATCTTGCAACCATGAACAAAGTATCTATACATTTAATTCTTCATCTTTAGCTAACCAAATGTCATTGTATGAAAATCGACTGCGTATTTGCTTTCCAAAAAGCTTCCATCCATTCATGATTGTGTCGTTGAATGTGCAGTTTGGATGTTTGAATGTGCAGTTTGGATGTGCATTGCGTTTGCCCAGCAGTTTTCATCCATCATGTCTCCACCACGTCTCTCCAATATATAGTTGCGCTTTGCCATACTCGGGCAGAAATTATAGATTCCATCGCGAAATCACCAATTGTCACATCGCAGCGTAAGGAGACCATCGATGACATAGCGCAGTGCCCGACAATTCTTTAGTCCTGAAGAGTCACCGATCCATGACAATCTAGTTGTGATTTAGCATCCATATCTGAATAAATAGTAAAACGACCGACCTAACGTTCAAAAATCTGAAACGTTAGTGGTTGTTTGTATTGTATCCACAGCGCACGAACACAGTCGTCCTTGACTTACCGTAGTGTTGGTGTCATCCCCACCCCCATCAGCGAAATGGATCTGCAATGCTTTTCATTAGATACAATACAGTACACGAGTACAAAATCATTGACAAGAGATAGTAACAACTTACGAATATTGTCCATTGGCAACCTTGATGTTCTTGCAGATCCAAAAATAAGTGAAATTGTGTCATTTGCGGTTGCTATGAAAGCACGTGTCCGGATGCCTTCATAATGACCGACTGACTCGGCATTTTCCAGTACATTTTGTACATGGACCTACCGTGTGCGTGTCGCATGACATTGCATTCCACGATTTGAATCAATCGAAAATACTTGTCCAACGCCGACTTCGTTTTTCACTGGTTTCACAGGTAAAACCTCAATAACCATGTGCACACATGGTTTATTACGCCCGGCGGCAGTTAGCGAAGAGACACCGTAAAACACGCTCATGTTTTCGCTGCTGCTGATATGCCACCGACGCCCTGCTTCACTACATAAATAGTCATTCTATCGCCTCACTACGTTTATTCCTTCAAGTAATTGGGGTCCTTCCAGTTGGTTGAAGATGTCAGAAGACGATGGTCCGCTACTGACCAAAGACGACTTCATCATGCGCACTAAAGATATATATTTTTCGTGTAGAAAATGTGGACTCCAGACCAAAGATATTGTTCGTGACGGAAAGAGGAAGTACTTGGCGATATTTAACTGTGACAATGTTAGGTGCACTATGGTCCACAGGTGGATCAAGTGCAGGGTCTGCACTGTAGCTCATGACATTGAGATTCAACAGTTTAGCAAACATGTGCGTCAAAAAAAACACCTAAAGCGAGTTGCTGAGTTCGAGAGCACCAAACCATCAGCCTACGTGCAACAAGAAATTCAGTTTGCAGAGCGATGCCAAATCGCACAAACAACGGATATGGAGACGGATACCGGTCCCAGCCCAACCCAGCATTCCGCGGGAGATAGCAACGACAACGGGATGGAATTTTTCTCTCACAATGATGAGTGGAGTTCAATCGAAATCGATGATGCATCAAATGCGCCGCCGCAGCTCACTTCGGAAGATTGGATGACACAAATATTGTCAAAGTGTCCCAACCCAAAGGGCGACCTGTCAGGTTACTTCTCGACCGAGGAAGAAACGACTCCGATCGATGGTCTCACGAGAACACCCATGAATGCGCAATACTTTCACTGCAATTTGGAGTTTGGATGGGGACCCAGGTTGCTTACTGCTTGGGCAGCGCAGCGGAACACTTCGCTAGACATCCTACAACGCATGGGTGCAACCAATCCCCTATTCTGCATTCTTCTTGCATATCTTACAAACCGCCTCACCAATATTGAGCAGCGTGTTCTTGTTGCGCTAATGGTATACATGTCGGATCCGTTGAATCGTGGACTTCCAATTCCAGAGAACCACGCACAACTGAGAAATTGCTATGGACCTGATGGACGAGAGTCAATTCCAAATATACTCCCGCGACCCATCATTCAAATTCTTGATACAGGGTTTGCCTACGTCTCGATTCGCGACATTCTCCAATTCCATCTAGCCAACGGCCAGACTTTGGATCCTTTGGTCGATGCACCATACTCCCCCCAGTCCAAGAATGTTCAATCACTCCACGGATCTTCTCAGAGAGGAAAGGATCTTGTCGCGTTTTCAAACGAGCAAAGCAATACCCAGCCGACCGAGTTTATATCTGAAGTTGTGATTTGGTCTGATGCTTTTGATACCAACAATACCAAAAATAATCGAGGCTCCGTACATGTTGTACTTGTATCCGTCGGTACCCCTGGAGATGATTATCATTCTGGTCGCAATACTTACCCGGTCTCCCTTGGTCCGTCCAATGGTGACATGACCACTGCCATGGAAAAGCTCGTTAGGGAATTGACAGAGTTATTCAAGGGCCAGAAAAACAAATTCTTTCATGCCGCATCACAGAAGGAACTGGCGGTTTCCCTGCGTGTGTACTGCTTTCTCCAAGATCGACCAGAACGATGTTCTTGGCTCGGTCTTGCATATGGTAATGGAAGATACGGGGCAAGATTCGGTTGGGCAGGAGACCTGTCACAAAGCTGTGCGTACAAACGTTTGCCTTCCTGTTCTGACTGCAATGCTCTGCGTTTATGCAGTCCAGACGTTAGGCATTTTCAATGTACAAGATGTAGTGATTGGCGCATGGACCTGTTGTCTTATCAAATTCCAAAGGACTACCCAACAATCTTCATGAACAATAACTCTGATGGTACGGACCCAACAGCGCAAAATTTGCCCGACAGTGCTCCAACTGATGCGAGAGTTAATGGTAACTGTTTACGGTTCCGCCCAATAACCTTTCCAATTTTGAAGTCGGCCTCTGATTCTACATTTGACATGGTTCGACTCCGCTACTGGACAAAGAAACAGGGTATTGCGTACCTTGAAACATTTGGACTTTCTCAGGTCTACATTGCCGACCTTTGCAATGCGGCGGACAATCCAGATGAACAGCAACCTCCACATCCAACTACATGGAACGTACCAGGTGTTGACATCCGACATCATATTGACGCACTGATGCATTTGTGCTTTCTAGGAATCACAAAAGCAATCTCCACAGATCTGATTAGTGGTTGGTTAAAGGCTCAGCGGAAATCAAGTTCTTTCTACAATCTTAGCCATCCAGTCCTTGACCAAATCAAACGCCAAAGTCTATCTTGGTGCAAGGTCGAAACAAAATTTGGCGGATACGTATCTGAGAATTGGATTGCGTACTGTCTTGTCTACAAATATGTTCACCAGCTGCTTTCAAAACTTACTGAAGATGACGATGTGTATATTGATCCGCCCGGAGTGCCACTATCGCAATACAATTTGAAACAGAGGAGGGCGTGGCTTTGCGCAAGGAAGGTAGAAGATATTTCTAACAAGTCCCTCAAGAAGGCTGTTGACAAAAAATTCCTCGAATTTATTTCGCTGCCTCCAGAGGAATGCCCGCCAATCATCCAACCAGTTGCGTCCAAGGCCACACTTGAACAAGCTAGCCACATGATTATTTGTTGGCAGGTATGCATGTCCCGAATCATGTCTCTGGATCAGAATCCCTCCGGTGCACAACTTTTGGACATTGAAAGGCACATTAAAGTCTTTCTGACTTCAGTTGATGTATTCGATCTCACGAGACGAGATCAAGCCACCAAGAAGGACATGAAAGTTCCCGTATGGCGTCGGAAACAAAACTTCCTGGGCCTTCTCAATTTTCGTGACACAATTCGAGAGATGGGACCGCTGTGCCCGCTAAGCGAGTTGGATTTAAATGGTAACTGGGCATATAATGCCATGAAAAAGTACTTTGTTGAAAAATCTTACAAGTTCGCCCTCGGGGCTTGTGTGAGAGATGTAACTAATGGACTTGCCGGCGGCGAACCTGGATCCTGCCAGGCAATGATGGAGGTAGCAACAGAGATTGCAAACCAAGCATCGGCGCCCAGCACCGACTCTGATACGAATGATGACGACGCTTTCATACAAGTACGATCTCAAGCAAATTACAAGTCCCACAAAGATGAAGCAACCGCAATGAGGAGACTTGAAGAATCCGAATTCATGTCTGGTCTAGTCGTTGACGATCATCTTTATTTGGTTATTAAGACAGGGGGTATGAATACTTATTTGGAGATACGGCCAGTCGAGTTTCATTTGGAGGTCTGCGGAGCACAGTACTTTTCTTACACGACCGTGGCATCCAGTGGTTTGGAATCGTCTCGATTCAAATCATGCTCAGAGCACTTTTTGCTCCTTCCATTGCTGAATAATGACGGAAGCGTTCCCAAAGGTAAAGGGAGGGATGGTGAACGCAATTTCTTCTATGTGATAACGTCCGGGTGGCGAGAGATTTCAAGATCTGATAGAGCCGGATTTGTGCTGCGATTACCAACTATTCCGGGAGCAACCTACTAACAAAATAACAATATAACAAGATTTTATATTTGCCTTTGCATAAATCGTCCTTGTATATAGACTTCCGTGGGTGGCATTCATGACTGCCTCGTGTGCTGGTGCTGTCAAAATTGAGTGCTCGTGTTCCGGACAATTTCAACGCACTCAACAAAATATATAATACGAGATGCAATCGGTTTCATCGTCCCACATTGTCTAGTCTAGTCTCTTGGGGACACGCGTTCTCTTAGAAACCCGCCCACCAGCTTCATCTGCCTTGTTCTTGTCGTTGTAACATGACGAACAAAACCACGAGAGCACCTCCTGGTCATCGTCCGAACACTTCTTGCAGAAGTGGATATTGACCAGCTGCTGACCAGACGTTATGGACAGCAGCGACCTCCCATTCCGTTGGCAAGTTCCTTTGCAAACTGAATCGGGAAGAAGTCTGCCCAAAGAAGTATTATTGGGAAATCTGATGTATGACTTGAAGGCAGAATGTTCCAACACTTGCAAATCGATCAATTTCCGTTGATGTTTGGAACAGCCTGGAAAGATGGCGTGTGGTGCTTCATTTTTCTTCTTATCTGGCAGACTTCTCTTCTTCGTGTTCTTCGACTGTTCGTTCTTTTTCTTTTTCTTCGGTTCCTTATTTCCTGCTGCTGCTTGTTCTTTGATCTTCTTCTCTTCGAGAACATCCTTCTTGCTTGATGCTTCCAGGTTGATCTTAATATTGGAATCGACTCCCAGTGGACACTTCATATTGTCAGATTTATTATCCATGGAAAATGGATTCTTGGCTGCCACTTCAGTCCCTTCCACAATTTTCGTTGTTGTGGTCTCTATCGGCAAAGACTTCCTAGCAGCCATGTGACCGTGTGCCATCTTATCAACTTTCTCTTGATGGACTTCTGGTGCCTTATTCACCGGCGTCTGCGTTAGAGGTTTCGCAATCAGCTGGAATGTTGGTTTCTCGGCCTTACTTTCTTCCTTCTCCTTTTTCCCGTTGAAGATTTTCTGCCATTGTTCCATTGTTAAAAGGCGCTGACCGATTTCATTGTCAGGGCCGCGATAGACGGTTGCGGTGGAGGCGATGACGTGGTCCACACTTTTGGCGTCAAGGTCGCAGCTAGGGTTGATGAAATCCAAGTTCGCAGCCGGTTCCTCTGTGATCGAATCCAAAGCGATTCCAGGTATGGCAATATCATGAACACTTGTTGGAGCAAAAGTTTCAGCACTAGTCTCGATCGGACCATCGATATGATAAGAAGGAAGATCGTTCCGGATCTGGGGATGATATTGATTGACTGTATTGATGGAATCCACAGTGGCAACTGGTTGCTGAACGATGAACTCCAAATTGCTTGCAGGTACGGCAACATCAGAAATACTTGTTGCAGCAAAAGTATCCACATTGACCTGCGCCTTATTGGGCTGCGTATGATTCGGGATCAAGTTTAAGAGGGGAATCATGAGTGAGGAGTACTGAGGAATGTTGACCAGATAGCAAATCCTTTGCACACATCACTTACTCTATTCTTATGATCTTTGACGATTTTTCGCCAATTTTCCCTAGTATAATCCACTTTTACGCTGACACGAGTTTGAAAACAAGACTTCGTATCAGTCTCTTCAGGCGATAACTTGAAGTTGCACAGTTCCAAAAGGTCCCTTGTAAGGCCTCCTCGTGTGAACGTCCCATGGAGTCGTTTGACTGCGTAGAGATCGGTATCATACAGCTCCAAGGCTTCATTGGCAAATTCGGCATCAATTTTAGCTAATGACATAACGCTTTGCATGCCAAGAGGGAATTTGTCGGCATAGCCCTTTTTTGCATTCAGTAGCACTAGATGGGCGCCCTTCACCTGCTGTAAAATAACTTTATCATATAAAGTTAGAAATGAGTGGACATCATTGCAAAACTCGTCAATTTTGGCATCTGTGAGGTCAGCTTCAGGGAGATAGTGCGAAAGAATATGCTTGGCATAGGCTCTTGACACTGCAGCTTTGTCATCGACTGGGACAGTGGATTGCACTTCGGCGTCAAGAGAGTTCCAACCATCCAAGAACCGGTTGTAAAATAACTTCATTGGAACCATGGCTTTCATAGCGTCCAACCTTCTGTTGGATTCTTCGTCATCAGCTCTCTGGAGTTGGAAGATCTCCGTGGCGTTTGTCTCGGCTGGATCAAACATATGGTATTTCGTTAAAAACAACCGTCCGTAATATGGGAGCTTTCGAAACTCTTTAGTTCCACAGGAAATGAAGGCTGAGCGTTGATCGCTATTGGAGGCATAAGCCATATGAGGAAAGCCCATTTCACTCTTCTGGCCAGGGCAATGAGATAGAATAAATGCCTGATGGATGTCGAAGAGGATCGTTCAGAGGGATAAAATCGCATCGTATATATAATATCGCAAAGATTTATTTTCTCAATGATGCGATGAAGATGCGACCGTTAGAGGGAAATTTAAAAAAAAGGATATACATGTGAATCGGAAGTTTAGATTATAATAGATTATCGATGCAATACTCAGGGTGTTGTGGTTCTATTCTTGGTTGTCGGGTGAAAACTTTGGGAGGACTGGAAGTTTCTGCCGCGAAAAAGGCAGTCGGGGTTTGTGGTAAAAACTATGGTGAAATACGGTTGGTTGGTCAGACCGAAACAAAAAAAAAACACCCAATTCCCCGAAATAAAACCATAATCCCATAACTTTCGTTTGCGGTGTAGGGGAGAAATCCGGGGATTCCCACTGCCTCATTGGCGGATCGCTAATTTTTTTTTTTAAAAGTATATGTCTTCGAAAGAGCCAACAATGGTTTCACGGCATATTTTTATGTCCTGAGATCGATCTGGCGATGAAAAATGACTTTCTTGATCGCATGGGTTCGAGTTCACATATTCTTCGCGAAATATATTATGTTCGAGAGAGTCAATCAACGTGAACCCAATGATATTGCACAGGCGAACCTGTAAGTGTTCGAGAGAGTCAACGTGAAGCTAATGATACTGCATGGTATCGTTTCTCCGCATGCATAGATCTATTTCTCAGGACCAATGTCTAAGCCACAAAAGTTGTGTTCTGAGCTAAATGTCCTCCACTACAGCATGCAAATAGATACTAATCAAAACATCTTCTTCATCATATGACTGCTTGTCAATAGGAGGGATGAGTATGCATGCAGTAACATTTTTTCAGGAGTTTAGAGTTCTTTTGTTCGCCTTCAAAGCTTTATAGCTACGATCTAGCTGTCGACTTGTGCCTACAAATGTAAGGGAAATAAAATGTTGTACCGGTAGGACAATGATGATGGCGTTCTGCAGAGACGAGACGCCCATTATATTCCAAAGCCACGTACATTGGCATACATTCAGCTGTCCTGATAGACCTATTGGATCTTTCTGAACATGGGCGGGGACATGACTTTCGATTTGATAACGCTCGCAGAACCTCCATAAAAAGATCAACGTTGCATGGTTCACAGGTATACACATCACATACGAACATCAACGAGAATTCATGGAAAATCTTCCATCAGACGTGCTTTTGGGTGACTTAAAGCCAACATTTTTCGGTGATGGATCAGGTTCAGCGGTCTCATCTGATCAAATCTGGAACATGATGATAATAATTTAATCAAACAAGAGAAGATAGGAAATTATATGTTCTGCTTTTATTAAAATAAAGCACTGATCAAACATCAAAACCTTTCTCACCTCATTGATGCATTGAGGGTTTTCTTTCCTCAAAGTAAAAAGTGAAAATGGACTGTGTTGGTGAAAGACTAGAGTGAAGCGAGATCGAACGAAGGGAAGAATCATACACGATGGTAGATAGTAAAAGGTAACTTTTGATTCTTGCGTACTCAACAATCAAGCAAATATGAACACAAACTGCATCTCAATCATTATTATCTACAGTATCACTGTATCACTGAACGATCAATCATAGTCGAACGATGCCAGATCCACAGGTACCTTTCGACGCTTACAGCAAATGCCTGCCTATATACAGCATAATATACTCCACTTTAGTACGCTCCAACCATGTTCAAGTCTTGAGTGGCAAGGATGTCGTATACACATCCCTTGCGATCAAATTCATCGTCGAGACCAGCACAAGCAGCTTCCGCTTGTTCTTCGGTAATATTAGACTCATCCAAGCGACGAGCACGTTCCCCACGGGGATCTTCTGGAAGGTAGCAAAGTTCTGGAAATTGAGGACGAGCCATTTCGTGAAACAGCTTGCCATCGCTCGGCAAGACTTGCCATTCCATACCCAATTCATTGAAGTCGTTCAGCAATGTGATACCATCACGCGCATACGTATTGCCAGTCTTGAAATCGCCAGTGATACCGACAGCATTGCCAAACGATTCTTCAGTAGCTCCGATAATCTTGACTCCAACAAATTCGTTAAAGTTCTTGATTTCAATCTTTTGCCCAGGGTAGGCACTATCAAGATCGATAATATACTTGTCATTGCGAGGATTAATAGTGACCGGAAATCCACCAAGGTCAGTGATATCCCCACGGTACTCAAAATTGATCCAGTGATGACGCTTGTCCTCGCCATCTTCCTTGGCAGCCGACGAGCCTTGAACTTCGAGGATGTCATTTCCAATACGGATGGAAGCGGCCTTGATGTAGCTCCAGTATTGGACCATGCTAGTACGAAGGTGAATGTCGAGATCCATGTCCTTGCTGGCAAAGTTCTTGACCTTGGTCATGACAATGTCGCACTGTCCATGGAACTCGAAATGTTCGTTCTTCCAGGTTCGGACTGTCATAGTGATTGAAACGAGAAGAAGAAGAAGAGTGAGACCGAATAGTTACAGACGAATAAGAGACTACGTAGTGTCTTTCTCTGGCGTTAGTTTACTTACAGTGAGGATCCCCATTGGCTTGAGCAACAGGAAACTCGAGGTATCGAAAGCAATTGAATCCAAAGGTGCCCATCAGAGCGTCAATTGGTCCAAATCCATCAGGCCATCTTCTGCATTGATGAAACGGGGAACCG